TTCTGATTTGTGGATTGTTAATTAGATGTTTAATGTATTTTAGTTTGAACTGTATCTAATTTACTAACTGTCCAAGTCTATCCACATTATTTACCATGAACCAGTTTTAAAAACAATGCCAGTCCCTTAGTCGTTAATGCAACAGTCTGCTCTCCTTAGCAACGGTCAGTTCTCCTTAGCAACGGTCTGCTAGCAAAAAATAGCAGACTTCTGGAATGTCTGAATTGACCAATCAGAATTGAGTATTTAACTAAGCCGTGTAACAGAGCATGATTTGAATATCCCGGGTACACTCACAAAAATGCGGGTTTCTTAACATTTGCTTCATTATAGAATCAATTAAATAAAATATAAATACAAATATCATTAAAATAGCAACACTTGTATGGGAAGTTAACGTAAGGATGTGCATGAACTTTTTTAATTAAATTAAAATTAATATATTTACATTAACAAAGTGAAATGTCTGATCAAAGATCAAATAAAATACAAACATTCATAAAAACAGGATAAATTAAAGTAAGTATTAAGTAAAAATAAAATAGAATACAAATATTTATTTCAGCATACATGTTAAAAAAAGGTGCACATTATCCTACACATAAATGACATTTACTTATATTACAATGTCTGCAGTAGTGTATTTGTCATTAATACCTTAAAATGCTGAAAGTGCACAGTTTAAAAGTTTCGTTCGTTCCACAATTTTGAGACAAAATTACAAAAGCTTATGAGAAAGATAACACTTCAGTTTCAGAGACAGACGGGGGGGGGGTCTGTCGTCCTCACTGTTTGAGTTGCTCTTAATGATTTCAAACTAAACCCAGATTCCTCTGCTCTCTTTTCCAACACTGAAATTAACTCAGATATTTAACAAACCCAGCTGAAAGAAAGACCGCATGCTACCTGTCATTGTCCCTCACACTACATGCTGTGGCTGCTTCTTTTTTTACACAGTGATCGCCCTCTAGTGGTTTTCTGTGTTCAGGACACAGCCAGCAGTGATGGGACCGGTGACATTTGACTCATTTTAGATTACAGTTACATTTCTAAAAATTGGGGATAGCGGGATTAAAGTGTTAGCAAAAAACTAAACATCTAGTGTTTGTTGTAAAGGATCAGCTGTTATCTCTTCTCTGTGAGCTGTGCTGTTCTGTAGGAAAATACTTTAAGAGTGAATCTATACTTCTACTGCCTGAATCTGCTTTATGGTTTCCACTTTCTTTGCTTCATTTGTTCTATTTTTAATTCAGCAGGTGAACCATATGTTCATAAAATAGTGTGTGCGATCTTAACTGTGTGTATTAAACTAAAACGGCTCAGATTTTATTTCTGCTTTTTAAACTTCAGTTGCTCACGTGTTTCATCGTTGGTGTCTGGGCTACTGACTGAATATGCTTCATGAAAGGCAGAATTTCCCGTCAATAAAATCTCCAAGCAGAGGAGAATTTTCCTCTCTTTGATGAAGTTATTCTTAGACGCTAGAGGCTTTTGTTTTTACCTCCAGATGGATGGCACGGCCAGAACAGAGTGCACGTGTAGTTTTCAGGTGTTCAGCTGACTTCAAAGCACCACAAACTGTTTCGTAAGCACGTCATCAGCATTGTCCTCGGGAAACATCACCTCTCGCTCTGATTCTGTCAGCTCCGCCAACTATGCAAAGTTTTCGCTTGTCAACAACATCATTAGTGAAATTGTCACCATAATGAAAACCTAAGGAAGAAAAAGTATTTATGCGAAAGTGACATACTGCATTTTTGTTAATATGTGATTTCACTGATTTAAGAATGGTTGTATTGTTCCTAAGATAAAACTAGTCAATTTCTCTGAATTCCATCTCTCCGTCTTTTAACCCTTGTTCCTTCTCTTTTGCCCTTTTTTATTTCTTCACTGGGAACAGTTAATGAATCCAAAGTTTCCTGCTCTCCTCAAATATCATACAAATATATTCCCAAAGTACTCCATTTTGATTTCTGATGGATGAAAACTCTTGTTTGTTTTCCACAGCTGACGTTAAATTGACCGGACTTCTTTCTGTGGATTGATATGACTACACATAGTCCCTTGATCTTCCTTAGCAACGGTCTGTTCTCCTTAGCAACGGTCTGTTAGCAAAAAATACTAGAAGTCTGTATTGTCCAAATGGACCAATCAGAATTGAGAATGAATCTAAGCCGTGTAATAAACTGGTTTATGTTTGGGTTTCCTGCTCTATAGCTTTCACTTCTGAACATAGCCACTGAGGACACTTTTTGTGTCACAAATGAACATGTTCACCTGGTTTAGCCATTTCCAGCTGAACCAGGAAGTGTTTTCTACAGCTTTGGCTCATGTTACATCCTCAGCTCTATCTGAGAATTCAGGTTTCATCTCACAAAAGACCAAGGTCCCATGTGTCCCCGCGCGAGGATGACTGCTCTGAAATGGCTGAAGTGTTTACCTCGCACACTTCAACAGATGTCGATAAATCAAAAATCCAGGCTGAGTGGAGAAGTGAAAACAGTCCTGGGAGTGTGTTATTCTTCAGCTCACAGCTTGTGATTCAATTTGACTTCTGTTAGATCCTGTCTATCGTGGTTTCAGAAATGGTTTAAGAATGGGTCCTTTTTCTTTCTTTTTTACACAAACTCTCAGCTCATCCTTCGAACACAGAGTTGCTGCTGAATTGGAGGCTTTTTTTTGTGTGGGAGAGAAACTTTGTGATTTTAGCCTCTGCAGACCATTTACATGCACTAAAACCTATAACACACTACATGTTTTAAACCCCAACAGCATAATAGGGCTTCTTTAATACAGTTGACTAAATGAAACTAGAGAAGATTGATAAAAGAATCCAAATTATTGAAAGTAACTGCTAGAAGTTTGACACTTTAGGGAGTAATCTAGTATCTGCAATCAGAAGTAAGGACAATATATTTAACACTTGTGTTCACGTACTGGACAAACTGTTAAAACCAGCAGAGGGAGGCTAGTAATATAACCATAGCATTACTGATGTTTTTGGTCATGTCTTTTTGTCCAAAATTCATTTGAACTTGCTATAAAACATGCAGCCCCCTCTTGCTCTGCCTTAGTTTGAGTCAACGCAGTGAGTTGTTCTTTTGGACAGTAACACGTTGTTCTTTATGGTCGTTAGCCTTCCCTCTTCTCAGCCTCATCCTGCTGCATATGGTGCTGTTCTCTTTGTGCTCTGTTTAAATGCAGCTTTTAACAGAAGAGGAGGGAGCTGATGCAAAGTGTTTGATCAGTCAGGCTTTGTCAGAGCTCTTTGAAGTCAGCCCGATGCAGAGGCCCTTATGTGTTTTTAAAGGCAGCTCCACATGCACGGCTGTACACGTGCACGTAACTTGGTCTATAAAATGTTGTCTACTGCACATTATAACAAACAACATATCATTCAAAATCAGAGATAGCAAAAGTAAACACATCCTGTAGTCAAGTAGTACAGATACTCGTGTTTAAAAATACTCTGGTGAAAGTAGAAGTACTGACTAAACTTCTTTACTCAAGTCAAAGTAAAGAGGCTTTGAAATGTACTTCAGTAAAAAGTACCCATAACTAGCAGCTGTTTTAAAGAGTACCTGACCTCCCTTTATATTAATAGAACAATAATGTCATTGTTAGCTAATGAATGTTTCCATGCTGAACAACGGCAACATGACAACGTTTCCATTGGTCCCTCTTCTTTAGAGAAGACCAGGAAATGATGGATACACGGATCGTGTTCAAATCAATAGGCACGCAATGACTCTAAATAATAATGATCACGCCACCAAACACACATTCAGACTAAAGGAACCAGCCTGTTTGGGAAATGAGAGAAGTAGAAAGTACAGGTATTTGAGTTCAACATGTGAGAAGTAGAAAGTACAGGTATTTGAGTTCAACATGGTGAGAAGTAGCAAACGTACAGTGTATTTGAGTTCAAGATGGTAAGACAGTAGAAAGTACCAGGTATTTGAGTTCACATGTGAGACAGTACGAAAGTACAGGTATTTGAGTTGCCAACATGTGAGAAGTAGAAAGTACAGGTATCTTGTGTCAACATGTTAAGAAGTACGAAAGTACAGTATTTGTGTTCAACACTGTAAGAAGTACGAAAGTGACAGGTATTTGACGTTCAAACATGTAACGCAACGTACGAAAGTACAACGGTATTTGAGTTCAACAATGTAAGTAAGTA